CTTATTCGGTACCTTTGAGTAATGACACATTTAGAGCTGTTTTTTTTTAGATACAAATTTTCACTACATGGATATCGAACTTAAGTCACTTAAGCCTTTTAAGTCTACAGCGGAGCGCCTAGCCGCTACACCACAGACACCGGTAAAAACGTTCTTTGTGTGCACTATTGTTGTGCCAAAGTGGGGAATTGGTCAATATACATATTTAAAAAAACAGAGATAATTTAAGAGGCAGGCCTCCCACCCTGTAGTAAATATATACATTCCGCGTGATATGAGAAATTTGTGCAAAATCTATGAGAAAAAAATACGCATATGTTATGAAGGCAGCCTGCATAATATGCGAATGTGTATGTAAACAAGTGCACACAGCCATTTCCTTGAGACAGAGTAAACACATCCACACGATAGCATCCATTAAGTGCAGGGGAAGTAGGTCCCCTACAAACAACGCCCTCCCACAGCGAGAAAGTGAAGGGGCGGAGTGTACAGAAGAGATTACACAATATGTGAGTACTCAGTGATGACACACATTGCTCATTCGACAATGCTTGAGGATGCGCTGTCTTTCAAATCAAACGTAGTCGTATTGTGTCAAAATGGAAGCTTTTTTTGTCCCTCTATGGAGGAAAATCTGGATGGCCTTGACTCAATCAGACTGAATTTGATTGGAAATGGCAGTGTGCACTGTCTATAAGAGCGTAAAAGCATGAGGTAGCGCCCCAACAAAACTATGTGATCCGCCACCGTCTCGTTTTCGTTAAGTAAAGAAAAACATATTATATGATATTATATCGACACAATAATGGTCATTTCGTGCAGGGGTAAATATGTCAGGCAGATAGAAACAAAAAAGGGGAAAGAAAGAGAAAAAGAGAAGTATAGCAGCTTGGTAGCAGTTGTGAAGAGCTGTGGAAGACAAAACAAACGTATGCACAGACAACAGAGAAATGCAGTCGAAACTGTCTAAGACGCCCACCCATTGTCGAGGAGGGAAGCGTCCGGGTTAGACAGGTGACCGTTTGTACAGGCGATTGTCTTATACAGGTAGAAGACGTCAGAACAGGCAGTAAAAAGGTACGGCCTACTAGTTGCCTCTTACCACCGTGGGGACTCACCTTGATGACAAGCTAATGCTCACACCACAAATCGTTTAAAAGCAGTGTAAAAACAACCGATAGTAACTGTCCAACACGACCGGGAAAGCCAGGACAGGCTAACTGTTTGACTTCCGCGTTGTTCAGAAAATAACACAGTAATAACGGAGAACACGAACAGCTACTGCAGTGAACGAAGCCATCGACCATAATACAGCAAACGAGATGCGCGATACTCTTCAGTGTCCCCAACCCTCTCGCTCTCTCTCTTGTCTCTCCATTTTCGACTCCTCCCTTGGTCGGTAGAGTGTGCTCTCCTTCACCCCCCTCTCTCCCCCTTTCTCCCTCGCTTTCTCTCACTCTTTATTTTCG